TGAATTTAGGCAATGACATATTCTTCTCTGTTGATCTTCCTTATTGACTTGGTAGCTGTGAAGTCCATATGCTAATGCTTCTAATGATCAACCATTCCTTTTGGGCTGAAGAGAATTGTAGTTCAACAATATTTGGAGGAGCAACTCATTACCCCAAGAGGAGGGGAACCTTATTATCACATTACTACTCTTCTCTAGTTCTGCTTCTCAGATGTTTTTAGCACTGGGTAGTTTGTACCCAGTTTCTGATTCACCAGAGATTTTAAGAGATACGGACTTTTTCAGTATTGTATAATTTGAGGGGAAGATAGCTTCTGGCTATTTCATGCCTCCCAAATTTAGATCTGTGGGTTTTGGAGGTGAACTTTTAAATTTATCTGCAGTGTATTACTGAATTGGGATTAAAGGGTGGGGAAACTAAATAGCAAATTAGCAACCGTAATATGCACTAGATCCCATAATATGGACCAGTCATTGACACACAATAGAAAATATCTAGCTATGCCTTGTTACTAGCATAATTTTTGGTTTCCGTAGGAGGATATCACAGACATTCCAAAGCTTGCTGATAACCTCAAGCTATTTAGGTAAGGAAAAGGAGTGATGAGAATAGCCCATCTATTAAATGATGTTTACTTAAGAATATTTATTTTGTTTGTATTACATTGAATTTCAAAAACAATCAGTATCCAAAATTTCTTTCAAAATTCAGTATAATGTTCTATCAGTGCCATTTCAGTTGAATTGGGAATTGATTTAATATATTTATAAGCCATCCTTAATATAAGAAACACTTCCAGGAGGGTTTACAAAATTAAAATAATAATATCACAGACAATAAAACTCAATAAATTAATAAAACTCATTAAAATACTACTGCATGAAAAATAGTCAAATTTGTGTTTTCATTTAGAAATGAATGATTTACTTGAAATCTTTCAGGAAAGCAATCATTGTACATGAAGATGTAAAAATGAATAACCAAAATATTTTGCAATTCAGAGTTTTGTGGAAGTAGAATTCTATGTTGGCCCTCTGTCTGGCAGCATTTGGGGTATTATTTCACATAATATTTTACATAGCACCAAAATGCATTGACTAAAAAACATACATTTATATGGATTTTGCATATGCTAATGGTTAAATAGATATAGATGTAAATATGTGTGTGTGTGTGTTTGTGTGTGTGTGTATGATCAACCATGTAAATTGTCTATCATTCCTGATAGTGCATTTTGACACGCTCATTAGTTCTGTTTCAAAATAAATTAATTTTCGTTCTAAACCTTTAGCATGTTTTCTCCATAGGTGTCCCAGTGGGGGGCAAGAGGGGGCAAGTGATAAAATATGCATTGTGATGTCACAATACAAGCCCCACAATTTATGTACTTTCATCTGACACATTCAAAGGCCAGGATTAGGCCAGGGTTTGCATTGTGTTGTTGCAACATATGTTTTGTCTTTTTGGGGGGGCAGGGGGGTCCCTGCAGTTTGTACTAGGCACCTGCGGTTTGGTCCTCTCTGATAAAGCAGCTAAAATAGAGAAAATATATACTTCAGAATGAGACAACCACATGGGCTTCCATAATAGATGGGGAATATAATTTGGCCAGAAGGATTGATAAGTATCCTCATTAGAATGGAGAATTGATGTGGCAATTCTTCATTTGCAGATCCAAAAAGCTGATGCTGAAAGCCTTCAAGCAATATTGGTTTGTCTTTAAAGACACATCCGTGTCTTATTTTAAAAGCAAAGAAGTTGAGCATGGAGAACCTATCGAGAAGCTCAACCTAAGAGGTAGAAGCTGATGTTTTCATACAGCATCTTATGAAGTGCTGTTGCATCTACAAACAGATCTTCTAACACAATAAGCATTTTTGTTCTTTGCTTATCATATTTCTGTGTGTACATGGACACGCACATGTGTGCATGCATACACACAGATTAATCTGTCTTTACACAGTATTTACTGTAACCTATTTTTTGTATTGTTGGAAGTGTTTTAGTCTCATTTACTGACAAATGTCCAAAGGATACTAATCATTATGACATTGTTGTCCACATAATATATGTCAAAGTGTGGATATCACTGCCATAAGTCAAGATGAGGACACATGAAAGCCACATGACTTTGTAATTACACTTCTGGCCACAGAAATTGTATTACATAGCTGCATATAAATTGTGCCAGGCTTTCACGGCCCAAAGTTCTCAAATTGTACTAACAGCAGTGATCAATGCGAGGCCATGAAATCCCACTGGTGCAAAGGCTCTGTGTATATTGCAAATCCCATATTGAACATCTGCCTTATTACATGCTTCAACATCTCTTATATTTGTCTGTCTGGGAAAAGATTCTCACAGCGGCAGTCCTCTATCATTTGAAAACATTGAAAGACTATCAAACATCATGGGCTCCCTTGAAACTAAACAACGTAAGCTAAGGCTGAGTGCACACCAGAAGAAAATTGCTTTGGTCTGCAAGGTTAAAGCCATTTATCCCCTTAGTGGCGTAGTAATTAATCATTTACCCTTTTAAAATTGGCCTTATTACTTTATTTATATGCTGTTTGTTTTCTCTGCCTTTCTCATAGAGTGTCCTTAAATGAAGATGAAACATAAGCTTACATATAAATTCTCTTCTGTTCTGTTGTTCAGGATGTGAAATTGTCCCAGATGTAAGTGTGTCAGGGAAAAAATATGGAATTAAATTACTCATCCCAGTTGCTGATGGAATGAATGAAATACATTTGAGGTGTAATGACGTGAGTAGCAAAACAGCTGAATGAATCTATTGTGTGTGCAGGGGAGGGGCATTAATGTGCTTTTTGTGCATTATATTAACCCTTGGGAAACCCCATTAAGGTCCAGGTGCTTGGCTGGCATTTCAGTGCATTGCAAACCCACACAGCGCATAAATATTTCCAGCTATTTGTGCACGGAAACAAAACAAGGCTTGTATAGAAAAAACAAAAAACCAAACCCTTGGTTGCCTTGCATGTGTATCCTCCCATCTGCCCCCACTTGTGAGAGGGGATTTTTGTCCAAAGGTCTGTGTCAAGAGTTAGCTTGCCAAAAGATTCTGTAAATTTGTCAGTATTTATCCTTTGCCCCATATGAGCTTCCAGGCTGAAAAAAAATAACTCTTGTGAAACTCAGTTTGCCTCCCTTAAGTCATCAACTTCTGACAACTCCATGGACATGTCAATATGGCTTTCTCAGCAACAGTGTAGGTTTGCCATTGCCTTATTCAGGGATATTTTTTGTGTGACCTATAGCCCTGGGATTTCCTCAGGAACTCCCAAGATGGACTGGAGGGGTGGAGGGAAAGTAAAGGACAAATGAGATCTAAGAGTGCTGGTATGCCAGTGGGGAGAAAAAAGGGTTCAACACTTTTTTCCTACAGTCTTATTTATATTTATATTTATTGAAAAAAAATTAATAAAGTAAAAACCATAAAAGAAAATAAAGATAATAAAGGAAAACAGTTAATAGCGGAAAAAGAAATAAAAAAGAAAAATTATTAAGAAGCAGCTTCCAATCTTCTTCACTGCAGTTATAAATACATTTATATTTTGCCCTCTCTCTCTAAAGTTACATCATAGTTTCCTTCTTTCCATAAGATACCCTTTCTAATCTTCAAACCCACAAATCACAAGTCCACTTTTCTCTTTTTTCAGCAAAACGTCCATAAGGGATTTCCATTCACTAATACTTTTTTCCTACAGTCTCGAGAAAAATTCTCACCACTGTGCCAAAGCTTGTCTCAGTTCTGGAACTGAACTTTCCTTTCGCGCAAAGAGATTTTCCTTCCGGAACACCATAAGGGGAGAAGAAAGTCTTGCCTACATCCTGCTGTCTCACTTACACGTTTATCAGTATATGAAGGCGCACAAATGATGCATTTTGTGTCACTTGAGTTCAGTCCTGGAGCACTGTCTGACTCCCTGGAGGGAATCAATAATGCATTTGCTTTCTATAAACCTTTGCATGCATATGCACCAAATCAAATCCTAAAAGGACATGAAACTCAAACTTTGATGGGCTTTAACATCTCCTCTTTGTTCCTGGTAATATCCTTACATTCCATCTTCCTCTTAACGTTGCAAACATTCTTCCCTAGCTTTAGTCTTGCCTGTTTGCTGACAGATGAGAAATATTCTGGACATTTTTGTTCTCGGAACCAAACATAAGGGAAGAAGAAAGAAACCAGTTCATCTCCTTCATATATGGGTCCTTGAAAGCTGCTGCCTTGAACTCCTGAAGAAGAGATGAGATAGAAGCTTAATAAACAGACAAATAATGCTGATGAAGTGTTGTTGTATGTGTGATGCTTTCTGAACAGAAGCCCGTGTTGAAGCTTACCAAAGCATTTCAGATGATTGCAGCTAAACAATGCAAGTGAACATGGGTGCCAGATTGTTTTTTCTTAATGTCTCTCAATGGACTGTTTGTTGCAGGAAGAGCAATATGCCAGATGGATGGCTGCTTGTGTGTTGGCTTCCAAAGGGAAAACAATGGCCGACAGTTCTTACCAATCCGAGGTCCATAACATCCTCTCGCTCCTGAAAATGAAAAGCAGAACAGCTGCACCCCAAGACGTTTCGGATGTAGAAAGCATGGACGTGAAACCAGAATGCTTCATCTCACCACGATATGCTAAGAAATACAAATCTAAGCAGGTAAATGGAGACAGAAGAGAATGCAGGAAGCAGCGTCCTCATACCCACTCAGGTCTAATTGATAGAAGATTCTTGTTTAATGGGTCAAAAAGTGAATTTCAAAGGAGTACTTTTCTTACGGCAAAATTTGGGAGCTCTGCAAATAAAATCTGAAGAGCCAGCATGATCCTGTAAGTAGAACATTGGATCTGAATTTGTGAGATGAGGATTCAAAAACTGCTTTTCTGTGATCTCAGTGTATTAATTCTGTGCAATTATTCTCCTGAGTTTTCCCACCTGCAAGTAGCAATAAGATAATAGAGTACAGGAAGAAGGGATATCATTAAACTCTTCCATGTTCAGAAGTTCCATATTCAGAAATTCCCAGAAGTTCTCATCTTCATCCTCTTCAACCGAAAAGATCCTGGCTAGCAGGAGCTGAGGAGAAAAATAATCCCCTCAATTCCCTAGACACTCCCAATTCAGAATCTCAAAAAAATTGTTGTCAATAGGACAGCATTTTACAGAATGGATCAGTGGAAGCTATGAGAAAACAAATTGTTTAAACCATCTGATGAATGTGATAACCACAGTTGTAATTAAACTCCATCATTAATTGATCTATAACAAATTACTATTGTATGCAAAAAATAAGTAATACAATACCTCTTATTGCCATCTAGTTTTAGGTCAACTACAGGTATTACAATACAGCCCTTATCTCCAGTCCTCTTGGATACTGTATGTCATTCAAATCTTGATCAAAGAGAAGAAAGTGATAGGAAACTTGGCAGGAAACCACAGCTGCTTGTCACCCAAGTTACAGAAGTACTGTTGTGGCCAGGGGGATATCCCTTCCACCCACATATGGAAAGAAAGGAGGAGAGGAAGGGCCAAGTTGAAGGGTGTCCATACTGATGGCATTGGCAGCATTTTCAAATCCTATATTCACATCAGCTGGGTTTTCCCATTGTGTTCTGTACTCAGTATTTGGTCTGCTTCCTTAAAGTAGCAGATTAGTAAGGCAGCAAAAGTATGTGGTCTATGCTTTTTGACCATGTGAATGCTGTTTGTTCATTTCTACTCTGTTAAAATCTGAGTTTTCCTTTCCATGTTTCCTTAGCTGGCTGCTCGCATTCTAGAAGCCCACCAGAACATCATTCAGCTGTCTCTTATGGAAGCCAAACTGAGGTTTATCCAGGCATGGCAATCCCTTCCAGAATTCGGCTTATCCTATTATATTGTAAGGTAATTCTAATGTTCCTCTACCTCTAATCTTTAATAGAATAGTAATTATTAGAATCTTTTTGACTAGTACTATTTTGACTATAGAAATATTCTGTTTTCAGTTGAAATACATTTTAGGGTTCTGATTTGGAAATCTTCTTAACATTACTATTCTATGTACAGATAGTCTTTGGATTATGACCCTAATTGAGCCCGGAATTTCCATCACTAAGCAAAGTGGTCATTAAGCAAAACATCACATGACCACGCTGCTTAGCAACAGCAGTTACAGCAGTCCTGGTTGCAGTTGTTGGGCAAGGATCACACAGTCATTTAGGCGAGGACCTCACAGACCACAACTTACAACCTCCGGCTGGACTCCCCATTGACTTTGCTCGTTGAAAGCCAGCTGGGAAGGTCACAAACAGCAATCACATCCCCCAGCAGCTCCCATCTTGATCCAAGCCATTCCTGGCTTGGTCCCTCCCAGCCCCAAGCCTTGGTTCTTCCAAGGCAAGGGACACTCTCGGGATCACTGAACCAGAAGAGGCATATTCATATATATATATGAATATGTATAACCAGAAAGAACACACAGAAATCAAAGTGGCTACATTATTGGTACAAGGTGATGGAAGAGCTCAGTTATAGCTCAAGTGAAAGTTCCAAGCTAAGCTAAGGTGGAAGAAGAAAGCCAATCAGTTTCTACAATATGATCTTGGGCATATTCCCACTATTTTGTGTGTGTGTGTGTGTGTGTGTGTACACACACATACATACATACACACATACATACACACACCCAAAATGATGATATATATAGAGGCATCATTTTGGTTGTTTGAAGACTATTTTAGCAGTGAAGAAATCATTGGATTGGCAGAAACTGGTAAATCATTTCCCTGCTTCATTTCTGTTTCCTAGGCCAAAGAGTCCAACTACATTTTCCTCCTTACTATTTCCATCTTTGGCATTCCAGTCTCTAGCTACAAGCAACACATCTTGCTTGCATGTTCTGTCAATTTCAGATTGAATGTGACCATAAAACTTGTAACCTCTTCTTCTTCTATCAGCAAAACTAGATGTCCAAGAGGTTTTGATCTAGCTACATCATAAGCACCATGATTATTCTGAAAGATCCTCAGCTCTTCCTCATGCCATCTGACCTGAGGGGCCCATCGTCTGGCACTATATCCTCAATCACTTTATCTTGTCTATCCATGGGTTTTCTTTGTAAAATACAGGGTGGTTTATCACTGCCTTCTTCCATGCAGTATGAAATTATCCCTTTGCTATCATCACTAATGTGTGAGCCTACATTTTACTGAGCATCTGGGATAACCTCCACAACTTGGGTGACCCTGCTGGGAATATATACTCTTGGCATTCACTCCCAACATTCTTCACTCATCCTTCCCAGGAACATGCACACACGTACACACTGCCAAGATAAGGCATCACAGCAGGACTCCAAATACGCAAATAATGGCTTTCTCAGATAACATCATGCAATCATTCTGTCTTTCCCTGCTTAACAGATTGATTGATTTTGTGTTAAGAAAGTAAAAAAGATGCAGTTGAGAAATACAGAAGAGTTAACAAGCAGAACACAATATCATCAAGATCAACTGTTTTTAGGCAATGCAGAAGTGCAAAAAAGCCTCTTCTGAAAGTCATCTGCCTATTTTCCAAGTTTTGTTTAGTATTTCTGTATTTGGTCAGTAGAGGGAAGCACAGACTATGATGTGAAGACAGCAATAAATGCTTGTGTTCTCTTTTAAACATTCTGTTTCCTTGAAACCATTTCTCACCCCTTTTTATTGCTTTGGAATGAAAGGAAATATACCTTTCTACAATATTCCTGTGATGGAAGAGAAGGATAGGAGTGAAGTTCCATTGCCATATCCTATAACTTACCATTCATCCTCTTGCTATGGAGCAGTTGATGACTAAGAGGAGACTCAGCTGCACCCTCCCCTGCCTCATCCCTCTTCCCCATCCTCTGCAATGGCTTCAGCTTGGATTGCACTATAGTCAGTTCTCCCCACCAGTAGGCATGGGGAAATTTCTCTGGTTTGCATTTGCA